CAGAAGTTGTGCACGATGCCGGCCGAGTTTCAGTGCCCGCTGAAGTTTAGTTATTGTTGGTCAGCCCAACCGCGGCACACCGGCGATGACGTCATCTGGTGCGAGCGGTGTCGGTTGCAGGCAATCGGCTAACGAGCTGCAGCGTGGGCAGTCTTTACGACATAGCAGCTGGCAGGGACAATTGTCGAGTTGCTGGGTACCTCCGAGCTGTCTTGTTTAACTATTCTGGTTCATGGCTTTCATACCTAAGGAGAAGGAGACGGGGGAGGGGGGTTCTGGTGCTTTCTGGGGTATTTGGGGCATCTGTGTGGGAGATTCTTATGCTTTCAGAGTCAATTTGCAGGTGGAGAAGAGCAGGAACGATTTTCGGGAAGTGAAGCGGGGAATTCGAGGCCGACTGTAATCTGAACACTGTCTGCTGGCAATAATGACGGAGTCGCGAGGACCATCACCAGCGAGAGCGACACCGAACAGTGCCGAGCTTGTGGCCGCCCCGTATAATCGTCGGTCGCTGCTGTTAGTGTTTTTTGTGGATTTACTTTGCCTTCCGGAGATATGCTGGCCGCGGTGTTAGGGTTGGAGTGCGGCAGTGCATCTCGCCGGTCAGTTTGTTTGCGTCGGTATGTCTCTGGGGCGTACAGAGTTTGCCCAGACCTCTGGCCAAGGGTTTCACCAGGTGAGAGCATTGCTTGCTGTTGATGAAGGCACGCGACGCTCCGAGTGACGAAGATGATGGATGCAGCATCAAACTTTCGAGATGAGCGAATTTCGTACTTCTCAGTGATCACAATTGTCCAGAGAGAGACGACAGATGGGATGCAGAGCAGTCGGGAATGGCGTGCCCACTCGAAGACTGTAACTCTCGGGCGGGATGTTTTGCTGTGCCCCATCTTCCAGGTAAAATTGAGAAGAATGCCTTATAATAATGGTGATTTCTTGCGAGACGTTGCAGATGCTTGCCTGGCGCGGTGCAGCCTGTGCCACTGCCAGTGGTGCAGTTGGAGACGAACACAAATCTGGATGTGCCCCCACTGAATGCATGGTCGTTTGGGCGTTCGGGGACTACAGGAAGCAAAAGCAGTGGAGGCCAAGGAGCCGATGCGATGGCAGCCACTTCAGGCTCGTTTGGCGAAAATACCGGTAGAAAGCATTGGCGCTCAAGTGGGTTGTTCAAGGATTGTTTCGAAAGGTTTGCATTGAGTTTTGCTGCTGTTCAGGGTTAATGCCACTGAGCTTTTCAGCAAAGGCATATTTTAAATCATTTGCACGCCTTGCCAGTCTTTCCTGTTGTTGATTGTCTGCTTTGCTGAATTTCTTAAATTAGTTCAAAAGTTGTCGTAATCAGTTATTTTTCAAAGCTTTCGCAGAGAAGCTTGTAACTCAAATTCGATTTGCCTGGATCTGCTTTTCCACTCTGTTTCACTGAAGTGATAAGGATTCACGGCCTAAGCGATTTCTAGGTCTTCAGTTGATTTTGATTTCGGCGACAAATTTGCATATATTGGTCGTTTAATTGTTAAAGGGTGGGCTTAGTGAAACAGCCACTTATGCGCTTATGCTTATATGCAAATGCAACCTAGTCGAAAGCGTACCGTCTGCCGGTACGAGGATGCGTTTTTTGCACAGTTTCCCCCCGCAGGTTTTTTTCGCCAGTGGCAAGTTCTTCCTGGCAGATGCTTCTAGCTAAAAGAATTGTGACTGGCCACCACGACTGTTAGAAATTATTACAATGACTCCCAATCCATGTTTAAAAAATTCAGCGCTCTGGATGCTTCGGTTGCGGAGTTGCGCCAAATTCCACGTGTTCGTAAGTGAGTAGCAACGTGAGTGTTTTCTTCGCTTGGGGTTGCTTAAAGACGGCCCTAGGTAGTGCTCAAAAATTTTCAGTACTCAAGTTGCTCTGGTTGCAGAATTACGTCAAATTTTACGTGTTCGTACGTGAGTGGTAACGTGAGTGCTTTCTTCGCCCGCGGTTGGTCAAACTCGGTCTTGGGTAGCGCTCAGAAAGTCTCAGCATCCCAGCTGCTTTGGTTGCAGAGTTACGTCAAATTTCACGTGTTCATAAGTGAATGGTAAAGTGAATGCTTTCTTCGCTTGGGGTTACTCAAACGCGGCCCCGGGTAACGATCAGAAAGTCTCAGCATCCCAGCTGCTTTGGTTGCAGAGTTACGTCAAATTTCACGTGTTCATACGTGAATGGTAAAGTGAATGCTTTCTTCGCTTGGGGTTACTCAAACGCGGCCCCGCGTAACGATCAGAAAGTTTCAGCACTCCAGCTGCTCTTGTTGCAGAGTTACGTCAAATTTCGCGTGTGCACATGTGTTCGTACGTGAGATGCAGAAGAGCTGACAAGTACTTTACTTTCACGAACACAACAGTGGGCAACAAGTAACGCTGCAAAATTGCAGCTCTCTGCAGCTTATTGATCACTTTAAATTTGGAGTTGACATGATGCCAGCTTAAACTTTGACGTGTGCGTACGTGATTGAGGGTGCATGAAGGCTGAACTTGAAATCTTTGGATTAGACGCGGCCAGGGAACAGTTCTGTGAAGTTCCAGCCTTTTGACATGGGCCGTTCCCGAAAACGCTTTCCCACCAAAAAAACTTTCACGTGCCCTACGTGAGAACCACACTGACCTAAGCGTCGATTTCGAGGACACGAGCCCGCACGTATGTCTAGATTAAGTTACCAAATTTTCAGCCTTGTAGGTTTTGTTGATCTCGAGATGAAAACTCGTTACAGACGCACACACAGACACACATACACACACAGGTAACCGCTCGACAGTATGCGTTTTTGCAGTGCAAAGCTGCAAAAAACGCATAAAAACGCATATTGGCAAGAGGTTGTGTTTGTGTGTGTCTGTGTTTTCGCAATTTTTGTCACCCACTTTCAACTCAAGAACCAGAAAAGCTAGAAGGCTGAAACTTCGGGAGTATGTGC